CCCCCCCCTCGCATCGTTCGTTGCTCATGCCGTTTGTTTTTGGTGTCCGCCCACCACCAGTATTTTCCCCCCCTGCGCAGCCCCGCCGGTTCCTCCCATCTAAACGGGAGTCCCCATTTATTTACTTGCAGGTGGAATAGCTTTCGAACTGCTGGGTGGGCAGGAGCTAGGACAAGGGACAGGAGCTTACCCCGTCCTGCGGAGCTGGGCCCAAACCACTGGAGTGTCAACCATTTCTGACTGGCAAACTCCAGTGTCATTAAGCCCCTGCGCCACCGCATCCCTAGCCCCTGCGCCACCACAGATTATGATTACATTTAAATTCTCTATTGTCAATGAAAACTCTGAAAATGGTAAATTAGCCAGGAATAAAACACACTGCAGATCTGATGATACTGAAATGTCTTATTTGCACAGTAAAGAGTCTCTTATACAGTAGTTTTCACCATAAGCACATAGGTTTCAATTTCAGGCAACAGAATGATTCACAATTTGCCCAATAACAGCTAGGTGAAATGGCAAAAACGTGGTGGAAATCTCTCTCTGTCTGCTTTAAAAGTCACGAAAGATGCATGTTAATAGTGAAGTATTGCCAAATGTCTGCTGTCTCCAAACCGATTGATTAAATTACTTCCATGTGTTTAAAGAAAAAAAGATAATTCAAATCAAACAAGCTAAAGCATGCATAGTAACTAGTGGAAATGTGTGGCACATTTGCCACTGTAATCAGTGCATAGGTCAAAATAGACATTTCAACTAGAAATAACAGGATAAATTGAAATTTTAAAACACTAAACATGGAAATTAGGATAGAATGAGTTGAATACCCATCTCACATCCAAATCAATTTAAAAAGGAATATCTTGAATTATATCTGGATCGATCTTCCATTGATTGTTTTTGTATTTATTATTTCTGTGATTTGAATTAGCTGATTATTTTTAACTGAATTAACTGAGTGTTTGTGACAGGGGAGAGATTGTCAGGTGAGGGCAGATGATGGGCTAGGTCTTGTAACAAAGCTTTCTGGACATTATGTACATTTTAAAGAACAAATCCATACATCTCTCCTGCTTATCAGAAATGTCATTTCAGCACTCTTGATCTAGTAGATCAAAATGCAGTGTTAGACTGTGCAAAGGAAAAGGATAGAGAGTAAGGAGACCTCATTTTAAGATCCCATTTATCCAACTTTACTCTGGATGGGTACATAAATGAAAAAATGGCTGAAAATAATAACCTAAAGGAAATACAGATTTCAGAGAATCTTATTCTGGATATATCATCTGGATTTCCTGAGTTTTCCCTTCTTTTCAATAAATTGAAAATCCTTGACACGCCTATCAGAACTCCTGCTATAGAAGAATGGCTTAGACATTAATGGAGAAGACAAAGATTCATGAATCACCATTTTACCACAGTTTGGAATAAATTTTTGCACTCCTTCTTGCCAGGGTCATAAAGTTGGCCCAGGATTAATCCGAGGTTTAATTAGAATTAGACCAAAGTGAATAGAGAAAAACCATGGGATGACACCAATGGAGGCTGCTGAAACTGGGATTGTAGGTGAGAAAAGCTAATAGCTGAAATCCAGAAGTGAAGAGGCAGATCTCAAAAATAACAAAAAGTATGACAATCTTTCTCAAACTATCCCATTCCAGGTATGTTGAACTATACCTCACATCAACTCCAGCAAGTTTGCTATTGTACATGAAGCGTAGAGACTATGAAAACTATTGAGAACAGTAGTTCATCATATCTGGAGAGGAATATGTTGGGAATACTGGTCTGTAGAATGTCAATAACTTAATTAGGATCAAATAAAATGTCCCAAATTTGTGAGGCAGCTGAAACTTTAATCATGACTTTGAACATTCTACCTTGTCTTAATATGAATATTACAATGTTGTGATGCCCCCTCTCTCTATGGGCCCTAATATATATATATTTTAATTTAGAAACCCCCTAAGCTTATTCAAGATTTTGAAACCTTGTGATTCATATGCATGAGCATATTGTAGATTTTGGAATTAGACCACCAAACCACCTGCATTTTTTAAATTATCTGGAAAATCAGGAAAACATTGTAGAGATCACAGTGCTTCATATCAATCATTACAGAAAAATTACCAAATTGATTACATAACTGAAACCATAATATGTTAATCTGACTGTAATAGGTATTCCAATTTTTAAAACAAGGGTGAGAATTATTTTAAATACCTTTTCATTTTCAACGTCGCACACAGCGTGAGCAGCGCCATTGCTGTACCTGGAAAGAAATACTTGCTGTAGTAGTTATTTTACTGCTAATAAAAAATAAATCATATAAATGTTTTGCTCTCTCTATATATTACCCATCAGCTTTATTGGATTTCCAGTCAACTGTTTCAGACTCAGTAACATTTTCTGTGAAAACAAAAATGAAAAATTTAAAGGAAGGATTTTTGCTCAGGTGATCTTTCTCCAAGCGAAGTAAAAATGGGTTGAAGTTACTTACCTTCAAGTTCCAGGGCATGATTGGTGGCTCCATTTGCACAAGTGATCTCCATGGCATCTACTTCAGCTTCAGCACTAATGATTTGCTGAGCCACTGCCTCTACAATTGGCATCACCATGGCAGCAGTAGAAGTGTTGCTAAGCCACATAGATAAAAATGCACAGCTGATCATAAAACCAAGGGTGAGCCTGAAATAATAACAAAAAGTCCATCTATGTCTGGTATTAACACTCAACAACATAATTATAATAAAACTCTATTAAAAATAATTTAGGTTGGCACCTCCTGACCTTCTAGACAGTTTCTAATTCCTTTCTCTATATAGCAGTAGTATGAATGGCTTGGCTTAGCACTTTTGCCATTCGAGCAGAATTGGATTCTAAGAAGATAACATTAGAACATTGTCTTTAATTCAGATTCATCTATCTCAGTTTTATCTACACTAACTGCCAGTGGTTCTCTGAGGGTTGAAGCAGGGATTTTCCCAAGTATGGCTGGATTTGCAGGAGACCGAACCATGGACTTGCGTGCAAAGTGCAAGCTGCAGCCCTTCATTTACACATACAATTCAGGATATGGGCCTCCAGAGGTTCTACAGAAGTGTCCATGGGAGTGTGTGTATGTGTCAGATCACAAAAGCAGCACTGTAACAATGCAATCATTCCATCTCTTTTTATACATGCATCATCAAAAGGGGCAGAATCTTGCCATGATGGAACGATGCTCCTTTCATCATTTTGATGAAAACACTGGATCCTGTGGATGCCTCTACCCAGGAATAAGAGTACATGTGCAAATTGAATTGCCAACATATTCAGTTTTCAAACTTTGAAGTTTTTTCTCAAGTGTTCTACACATGAAATGTTCACACGATAATGGAACGATTGCTCTTTTTACATCATGCATGCATAATATATGTTTTTTTCCATTAAACAAAATATATTTTAAAAGACATCAACATTAAAATAACTTAGGTTCAGTTTATCTCCCTTACAGCCTTTGTTAATCTCAGTGAAATCACATAACCATGGGAAAGGAGGAAAGCAAGCATGGTGAGAAACCACCACTTACAAGGAAAAAAGAAGAGGTGGTGAAAAAAAGTATTGAAAAGAATATATTGCCCAATTCATTCAAGTCATGTGACTTTTTCAAGTCATGTGAGTTTTCTCAGAGAAAAATAACCAAAGCAACTTTGAATAATATATACCAACTTTGAATGGTCAGATGTACTCAATGGATTGAACTGAATCAAGGTAACTGAATCAATTTGAAAATTCAATGGATTTTTTCCACACTGAATGGTTGAATAGAATTGATTCTGATTGACAGTTCATGAATTTACAGTGTCCTAAATTTATATTGTGATGTGAAGGAGATACGGCTTGTCCACATTCTGGTAAAGGCAAGGTTGAAATGAGATTCACAAAATGGGATCCTACCTTTGGATATTTTTGCTATAAAAATATATTTGAAACCTGACAGGTACACAACTGACTTCAGTGATCTTTTTAACAGACTTGGGCTAGAGTTGCATCATCAGGGTTCATGATGTTTGAAATGCACAACTGGGTGAAGAAGTCTTATTGAAACATCTTAAATTACTGCAATTTTCCATATTTCAAATCAATTAGTGTTGACTTTCCAAGTCCTTAGACTTTCCACATTAGGCCATTTCTTAACAATTTTTGTTGTTGTTCAGATGCATCAAAACAGACAGGCTTGTATACTTTTCTATTTGGAAACAAGGCAGGAGTAGAAATCAAATAAAGATAGGGAGATATAATTTAGCCCCAAATATCTCCGAAACATCCTTTCTTTGTTGTTTTTCATTTAGATTGGTCATTCCACATGCACAATTGGGAATTGCTTCATCATAATGCCAGGATTCTACTGTATGTTTCTATCTAGGTTTTTGTTTTTGGCATCTTGCTTTGTACATGATCTGATTCCAAGAATGTCTATGGGGGATGGGTGACCAAGTTGGATGGTCACTGGAACCACATGATCAAAGCCCCATGTATTTAAAAAAGAAGCAGGGCTTTGATAATGCAATTGTAGCAGCCACCTTGACTTTTTTTCACACACACACACACAGGATCATCCCATTCATTTCTGTGAAGTCTCCTTGGTACCTAATGTCTATGGTCTCTGCCTTAGCTTTTCTTTTTCTTGCTTCCCAGTCCAACTAAGTCACTTCTATGAGGGTTCTCCAAGAATGGCATGTAATCTTCTAGTTAGTTTTTACTGCCAACTCCTGAAGTTTCTTTTCCAACTGAGAAATTACATCCTTGGAACACCTGCTCAATTACTCACAAGACACAGTTGCTGACAGCACTGTATCTTTCTTTGATATAGGGTACAGTCCAGCACAAGAATTTTCAGCAATGTGCAAAAATGAAAATGCATTTAATCATACCCTACATAGAACAGCAGCCACTGACCGACCTTTTAATGTGGGTAACTTTGAACAACTTTGTGCAATTACTCCCACAAAACAATGCAGGAGAAAATGAAAGGCATTCGTTTTGGGACACATTCAATTTGTGATATTGCCCTGTTTTCAATACAATTAATGATTGCCATGTAAATGTTTAAATATACCATGTTTTATTCATGCCAAGCAGCATTAGCCTAAATAATTGTTAAAGACTGTAAAGATCTTTGATATCTAGGGGATGAAAAGTACTTCAGTAGTTGCAAAGAGTAACACAGAAAGGGTAGACTTATTTAAACATGCAAAATTGCTTTCACATTTTTCTCTAATGCATTTGTAACATTTTATGAAAATGGTTGCATGAGTCCATGTTATAAGACAGACAGACAGACAGACAGACAGACAGACAGACAGACAGAAAGAAATCTCTACATTGGTATCAGTGAGGGTGTCATCAAAGGATCACTGTAGTAAGATAAAACAATTTTCTCCCCCAAATCTCATTCTAACAATATAGCAGCAACAACAACACTTCCTTTGTTTTTCTTTTTTGGCAGAGTCACCTCAGATGATCTCAAATCATGGAGTAAGAACAGCCAGGCCATCCTAGGCAATCAATTTGGCAAAGTTGAGTTGACTCAAGCTATAAGTATGGTGAAGTCAACTCAACCAGTGCCTTCATATCAAAATACTTCTGACCTCTATTGATCTTCTTCCCCAACCTCTCTACAGTTGACAGTTACACTGGGGTATTAATTCAGAGAATAAAGGAAACCTAATGCAAGCCTTATATCATAGCACATAACATGCAGGCCAGCATGGTTCAGACATTGTACTAATCTGTGACCATAGCATTTCATCCTCAGATTTTGTCTTGCCACCTCTTCTGTATATAACTCTTTGAACCTGCCTTGGGATGTGAGAGAGTAAGGATCACTATCAGCGTATATGTGTTATTAAAAGTAACTACAACTAATAGGAGTATTTCCTTCCTTCCTTTCAGCCCATTGGGCACAATGCTTAGGGTGGTGTACATCATCAATAAACCACAATAATTCAGTTAAAACAACAGAATAAATAAAACCTGTAAAACCATAACTCAAAAGAGATTGGATTACTATTTTAAATTAAATTAATAATACACTTTAAAAATCTTTTGTCCTACGTCCTTTACAGCATATCCCCTGGCACGCTGCTCAGAGGTGTGCATGGACCTTACACCCACAAAGATTGGGCATTCCTTACATAAAAAGAAAGTTTGGTACACAGAAGATATTACATCTTGAGATTAATATGATATACACTTCTCTAATATGTTAATTTATCACCATAAACTCAGCCAATTTTTATTTGAGGCATGTAGAACAAAAGTAATCCTAAACAAACAGAAAGGGTAAAATACTTCTTGGGTTATTTTGTAAATTATATTTTATTTATAAAATATAAATTATGTAAATTATATTAAAATGCATTTTTGGAAAGAACTTTCAATTGTTCTTTTTTTTTTTCTGTAGCTATATTCTGTAGAGCTATATCCCATATTTTAAACCACTGATCATTAGTTGAGGATGGGCTTTCAATTATAGCAAATTACTATTCATACACTGTTAGGTGATTGTATTCATAAATTATAAAATGTATAAATTATATTAAAATGCATTTTTGGCAAGATCTTTCAATATTATTTCCTGTTTTTTTCCCCTGTAGGAGACAACAGAGCTATATCCCATATTTTAAACCACCAATCATTAGCTGAGGAGGAGCTTTCAATTATAGCAAATTACTGTTCATACACTGTTAGGGGATTAACTATCTTTTCAGTATCTCTGAGACATCCATCAAAGATTTACTATAGACTTTGCAGGAAGCATATGACTACTGTCAACTGCTATCCACTGATTGCATTCCAAAGCTCAGGATCTTATTACTCTGTGAAAATTCCAACAATAAGAAATACATTTGCTTTGTGAGAGCTGCAACTGACTTTCAAATTAACAGAGGTGTTATTCTCCTGGTGGCTGATAAAATAATAGAACTGTTTGTTCTTCCCATGTATGGGCACCAATAGTTATTAGGCCATGCTTACATTCTAGATAATATCATCCTATTATGCCTACTATTTAATAAATGGATTATAACTATTATTGCAAAGAATTGTGGATGAGGATAAGTTACGTATGTAATTATAAGAATGCAAATGAAAATTTCTGTCTTTGAAGTTTCTTAAAATAAATGTTGGCCTGGAGGCTTCCCAGTCTTTGCTTTTGACTTCTCCTTGGTCTAGACCTAGTTAAGCCAAGATAATTAATTATTTATTTCATTTATTCTATTCAATTTGGATGCTGCCCAACTCCAGCTGACTCTGGGCAGCTCACTGCAATAAAATAACAGCAACAACAAACCCAGAAAATGAACCACGGCAAGTACAAAAATAACTAAAAAATAATCACAAGATGGCAATTGAACAATGAAGCAAACATCACAGAGGAGTCAAATCTATCCTACCCCAAGGACAGGGCAAATATTATCATCAGGATAGGAGCTGTATAGATCTCTTGGAGGGATCTCATTCCAGAGGACAAGTGCCACTACAGAGAAGGTGCGTTTCCTGGGTTGCAAAAATGGACACTGTTTAATCAAAGAGACTCAGACTATGCCCACAGTGCTGGATCGTACTGGATGGGCAGAAACCATGGAAGATTGGATATATAGATACTGGATATAAATACATTAAATACATAATTACTCTGCAAT